GGGAATATATGACCAACAAATGAACAAGAAGCGAGGAGGTAGGAACAGCAGGCGGAGAAACGCCGAGCATCCGAACCCCGAGAGGAATGGCCAAGCGAACCACCGCCCACGCGGGGCTGCAGGAACCGCGCAGGAGGGGCCAGGAGGGAGAGGAAGGAGGGAGGACAACAAGGGCACGGGTGGCTGATGTGCTTTGGATCAGTGCTACGAGTCAGAGAAATCGTCCATGACCACGATCGGTGGGCACGACGCGCCGATGAGCACCGCGGGCAAGCAGACCGCGCGCAAGACGCACAGCGTGAAGGCGAACTTGCTGAGAATTGCGACGGCGTGCCGCAAGTCCGACAGCTGTTCCCCCGTAGAAAGGCGGCTGGTTTGCTCTGGCCGCGAATGCAATCAGCACGTCGCCATCCCTTCCTCTTTTGCGCTTGCCTCCGGACCCCATCGCCCTCCGCGCCGGGGGCCCCAGCCTAGTCGAGTTCCGTCGCCGGGCACAGCTCGGCGGGCACACTCCGGATGTTTGGATTAACCGGAGGAAAAACCAAAGCCAGGCCAAACATGTGCGACCAGAACTGCCCCTGAAAATGCGATGCGTCACTCAAGTGTCTTGAGGTAGGGAGCAAAGAAAATCGACAGCACGCATGGGAACAGGCAGTATGCCCATGTCAAGCTTGCATCGCCCACTTTTAGAGGCAGCCGACGCATGTTTTGTTAGCAGACTTCGCAAACGCGAGCGAGGTGAAGCACCAAAGCCAAGCATTGGCAACAAGTATATGCGTAATGAACACATTGGCATGATCCCCCACGAGGCCCGCACATGATGACGATACTGCTGCATACCGTACCAGGACGATAACGTTGTCCCACAGACCGTGCCATCCGCACGCCTCGCCTAGCTGGTGCACTGATGTATTTTTGGAACGCGCAGCGTGCGCATGCTCATGTGGCCACGTACGTTAAGAAACACATGTGGTTGGATTTCACCCAATCCCACGATGCAAAACTCGCCCATCAAATCTTCATTCGTGACGAAAGAATTCACGTCAATCAGAACGTTGGCGATGCAACTGGCCTCATCCAACACATTTCGGGCTCGTTCCTAACCGTCCAACAACTCCATTCGCCATGGATGTTCGCAAGCATTGGTACAACAGCAAATCGGAAAGTTGGAAAACATTGCAATCGCGGCAGAAAATACGCTGCGCTATTCTCAACCGAGCTATGGTGCGCTCGCGCATTAGGGCGCAATTCCTAACCATTCCCCGACCTCGGCGTTTGGTTTGGACTGGTAGGTCACTCCATCGCCATCCTCGGTCTTAGTGCACGCCTCGCCGTGCATCGTTTTGCGCCCTGTGGCAAAGATGAACGTATCAAACAATCGTCAAACTGATGGTCCAAGAGCGAAGGCACTGACAGCAGAAAAATCAATCAGGACAGCAGCACGAAAGACGAGCAATTGCTGTCAAGCACGTGCCCTTGACGGCCAAAGCCCAGCTTAGTCTCGGTAAACCTTTGTCCGTGGTTTCGCTGCTGCAAAGCTGGCGTTGTAGTGCAGGTGAGGGCCTCAATAACGAGCATTATGGACAGTGTTCCGAAGTTTGTGGTGCCGTGCCCTGCCATACCATCGGCTGAATTCTGGGCTGTGAGGACACGAGCCCTTGCCACGCAGAGAAATGATCGACCCTTCGTTGCCTCGGTGCAAGAGAACCCCCGAACGCTGTGCCATCATGTCATGTTCACTGCGCTGGCACGGATCTGGAGAGCAGTAGGCGACGGAGCCGCAATGCGGCTCGTTGTGTTATCGACGTACGTGGTGATGGCCGACTCAATGGAATTGCCAGCCGCAACAAATGCTCACACGAACGACTGAGAGTCTTGATGTGCACATTCCTGCCAAGGATCTGCAACCTCCGCCCCCCCAAAATAGATCAAACATGTCAGATGCAACGCATGCAAATGGACCAAGAAAAACACCATCTCCCAAGACTCAATGCTGCATGCGATTTCCGACCGCACATGTACGGGCTGCCCTCTCATGGTGCTGCCGCAATAGGTGGCGGTCAAGCAAGTCAGGGCCAACATTGATAATGAGTTTAAATCCCTGTTTGTTCTGCGGGCAGAGGGAAACGCAATTACAATGTCATACACATGGACTGCAAACGTCCAAAACACGAACGCGCCAACCCAATATTGTTCGGATGGCGATGTTTTCTTCGGGGGATTGCCGTTTCACGCGGCGAAGAATACCCCGGAAACAAGGTAAAAGGCTGACGGCGCCAAACCACTTAAAAAAACCCTACTCATCAGACTTAGATTTTGCAAGATAGGTCGACCTCCCACCGAAACTGCCATTTTTCTTGCCAATGTGAACAGCACGCGAATTATGGAACCCAACGGGGACACGTCTGTGCGCAACAATGCTAGCGAGAAGACTGTGTGTACACACCCAAAAGATGGCCCGAACACCAGTTGGTAGGCGCCTGGTCTTCGAACTGCGGGATGCACCAAAACCTACTATGCGCGCGGCCAAACTCAATCGTGTTGAATTGGTAACTTTGTTCGCTACTAACTACTGGCCGACCGTGCTGGATTGTCAATGTGGCGCAAACAGGGCGTACCAAAACTCCGCTGGAACATCTCTAGGCGGGGGTTGGCGCGTGCGGCGAGATTTGTCGACGTTCCATGAAGATGTGGTTCCAATCCTCTGGCATAGTGCTACGTGTTAATAGAATGCGCTGTTGGGGATTGCACAGTTGAAAACATAGCTTACTGGTCAAGGAACATTGCGCACTGCAGGCACCTCGCGGGCCAACGGTGGCGAGGCGCGCCGTCCATTCATCAGAGGATGGCATGCTCGCACGACCTGCTTTCACGATTTCATGTTTGGGTCCTTCGTTACGGTTGGCCGAGCCATTCGTCAACCCAGCGACGGGTCCTTCGAGTCTCAGGCGGCCTCAAAAGGTTGCGTTTGGACCATCCAGGAGTGCCGCACGTTGTTGCTTGTCGGCAGCTCTGACCTTTCGAGCCGCCTTCATGAGCTGGACAACAGCGGTCCAAGCCTGACACAAAATGGACACGTGGATGGAACAAACAAATGTGACACGCGTGCTGCTGGCGATTTCAGCATTCTCTTGCCTGCGGTTCTTCAGTGCTGCCACGTGTGCTGTTTTGGCAGCCTCCACTGAGGGATGCACATCACTAACCTGAGACCCCTTCCCGAAAAACTCAACGGCAAGTCTAGAAACAACGCTGTTGAGCGACTTCCAAATGTCATCTGATGACGTGGGCTGACCGTGCACGCTGGCCCATGCCACATCTCCTCTCCCTCCTCCCCCATATCCTTCCTTGTCGCACCCCCATACGTGTCGGTAGGGCGGGCTGGGCGTTTCGCCTGAGACTTGTTTCCCATCGATGATCCTGAAACTTGAAGTTTGGAACAGCTTCAAGAATGGAAGGCGGATGGTTTTCAAAATGCGGCTCTCACCTTTGCGCCGCGCGCCTTCGTCTTAAACATGTGTGACAGCTTCAATGCTGCAGGACGGACCTGTTTCAAAATGTGGCTATCCTTTTCGCGTCGCGCACACTCGCCTAACACTTTAGCGGGCAGCTTTAAGGATGGTGGGCGGCTCCTCTTCAAAATGTGACTCTCGCCTTAGCATCGCGCGAATTCGTCGTACAGGTTGGAGAAATCGTACGGTCGAAGTCGATGGAATTGATTTCTGGCGCGACTTGGACGCCAAAGTCGCGTTGATTCGCGGTGTTGTTGAAGTCCCTGTCATAGGGTTCTGGCACGATTTAGGTTTGTCATGATGCAAACGTTACGTTGACGCAGGGCGCTTATATAAGTCCCAGAAACGGTGTTTCGGCAAGATGAACCATTCTCCGACGGTTATCTTCCAATGGGCCACTTCCCGCAATGAGCATATATGTTGGTACGGACCTGTGAAGAGGGAGTCTGGAGGAAGGGTCAATTGCAACAGCGGTCGGTGATGTGTCTTGGGTGTGGATTGGTCCTCCTTCTCCTCTTCCTCCTCCGCCTGCCCCAAATCCCCCCCGTCCTCCCCCAGACCTTTCCTTTTAACAATTCTTCCTTATCGCACCGCTAGACGTGTCGGCAGGGCGGGCCAGGCGTTCGTTTCGCCTGACCTGTCCTCACCCATGATGAGCCTGAACCCTGAAGCTTGAAATTTGCACCAGCTTCAAGAAAGCAGGTCGGGAGGTTTTGAAGACGAGACTCTCGCCTTAGCGCCGCGCACCTTCGTCATAAGACTTTGAATAATTCAGGATGGCGGGCGGGTGGTTTTCAAAATGTTGCTCTCCTCCTCCTCCTCCTCCTCCTCCTCCCTCCTCCTCCTCCCCCTCCTCTACCGCCTCCTCCTCCCTGCTCCTCCTCGTCCCTCCTCTTGCTCCTCCTCCTCCTTCTCCTCCAGTTATTGTTTCCCCTCCTCCTCCTCCTCCTCCCTCCTACCTCCTCCACCTCCCTCCTCCTACTACTCCTTTTCCTCCTCCCTCCTCCTCCTCCTCCTCCTCCTCCTCCTCCTCCTCCTCCTCCCCTTCTCCTCCTCCTCCTGCCTCCTCCTCCTCCTCCTCCTCCTCCTCCTCCTCCCCATTCCTCCTCTTACTCCTTGCTCCTCCCTGCTTCACCTGGTCTCCTCCTGCCCTTTTTCCTTTCCTCCTCCTCCTGACCTCCTCCTCCTCCTCCTCCTCCTCCTCCTCCTGATCTTCCTCCTCCCGACCTGATCTTCCTCCTCCTCTTCCTCCTCCTCCTTTCTGTCATCCTAATCCACCTCCTCCTCCTCCTCCTCCTCCCTCCTCCTCCCTCCCTAGGCCTCCCCCCTTCCTCACTCCTGTTTCCCTCCCTCCCTCTCTCCTCCTTCCCTCTCCTTCCCCCCTGATTCCCTTCCCCTCCCTCCTCCTCCTTCCCTCCCTGCCCTTCCTCCCTCCCTCCCTGTCTCCCTCCCTCGCTTTCCTTCCCTCCTTCCCTCATCTCTTGCGCTCCTTTTGCGCGAACAAAGGCATCCCGCCCGCGGTGAACCGCGACCCGGCTCACCGCAGTGGGGGGGGGGGGGCGGCTCACGGCGGCCCGCCGGCGCTCTTTTCCAGGGCGGGCGCTCCTGGTGCCGGAGTTCCCCAGGGGAGGAGGGTAAGCGCAGGCTCCTGTTGCGAGGCGGGCGCCAAGGGGGAGGATTCCACATGGAAGGTAAGACAAAAGGGTGAAGTTGACGAGGAGGAGGAAGAGGAGGAAGAGGAGGAGGAGGAGGAGGAGGAGGAGAAAGAGGAGGAGGAGGACGAGGAAAGGAGCAGGAGTAGGAGGATGGGGAGGAGGAGGAGGAGGAGGAGGAGGAGGAGGAGGAGGTGGAGAAGGAGGAGGACGAGGAGGAGGGAGGAGAAGCAGGACCAGGAGGACGAGGAGGAAGAGGAGGAGGAGGACAACGAGGAAGAGGAGAAGGATGAGGATAAGGAGGAGGAAGAGGAGGAGCAGGTGAACGAAGAGGAAAAGGAGGAGGAGGAGGAGGGAGGCGGAGCAGGACGAGGAGGAGGAGGAGGAGGAGGGGAAGGGAGGAGGAGAAGGAGGAGGAGGAAGAGGAGAAGCAGGTGAAGGAGGAGGTGGAGGATGAAAGGGGAGGAGGACGAGGGTGAGGACGAGGAGGAGGATGGCACGGGGAAAAGGGTGCAGGATGGAAAGTAGTCGAGGGAAAGGGAGCACCATGGGAAGAGGAGGGAGAACCAAGTGAACCCACCCCCGGCAGGGGGGAGCCACTTCCTCCTTGTTCATCCCGCACTCTCCTGTCTAATTAATCGCGCTTCATTTTTAGTGTTTCCCTCCTCCTCCTCCTCCTCCTCCTCTCCTCTTCCATCCTTACCCTCCTTATCCTCCTCCTCCTCCTCCTCCTCCTCCTCCTCCTCCCCCTGTTCCTCATGTTTCTTCCTCCTCCTGCCCCTGCTCCTCCTTCTATTTTTCGTCGTTTGTTTCTTCTTCTTATGTGTCTTCTCATCATTATTATTGTTCCTTATTCGTATATGTACTATTATTCGTGTTCGTCATAGTATTATCATTATTATCCTCCTCCTCGTCCTTCTTCTTACTCTTAGTAGTCGTCTTCTGTTTCTTCTTTTTCGTCCTTCTCCTCCTCCTCCAAACATGAGGGCCAAATCCTGCCGAGGCGGCGAGCCAGCAGGTGGGCAGCTGCAGCAGGGCGCCCAGCAGCGAGGCCGCGGCGCCCAGCGCAAACACCAGCCGCAGGGCCAGCTGCTCGTCGCCGAGAGCCAACAGAGGCGCCACGCCGTACTTGCCTGGGGCCGGCGGGGCCCCCCATGCCGTCCCCTCCTCCTCGCCCTCCTCCTCCTCCTCCTCCTCCTCCTCCTCCTCCTCTTCCTCATCCTCCTCCCGTTGCGCAGGCCTTGCTTGGTCAACCGTAGCGTCCAAGGCTCCTTTTTCTTTCGTTGTTCCTCCTCCTGCTCCCTCCCTCCCTCCTCCCTCCTCTCTCCCTCCTCATCCTCCTCCTCCTCCACCTCTTCTCCTCCTCCTCCTCCTCCCTCCTCCTCTGCATACACCTCCTTCACCTCCTCCTCCTCCACCTCCTTCCTCGTCAGCCATTTCCTCCTCCTCCTCCTCCTCCTCCTCCTCCTCATCATCATCATCATCATCACCACCACCCACTCACCGACACACCACCACCACATCGTCATCAGCATCATCATCATCATCATCATCCTCATCATCTCTCAGCATCATCGATCACCACACCATCACCATCACCATCACCATCAATCAAAACAGCATTATTCACCACCACCACCATCATCATCATCATCACATCATCATCACGCATCACCATCACTATTCCATCATCACCACATCACCTATCACCACCACCACCATCATCATCAGCATCATCACCATCACCGTCCATCCACATCATCACCATCATCAACCATCGAAACCAGCGGCACATAAATCGTCATCATCATCATCGTCACGTCGGCCGTCGAAACGCGTAATCGTCAGCTCGCCGTCTCATCATCACATCATCAGCATCAGACCACCATCATCATCATCATCATCATCATCATCATCATCATCATCTCATCATCAATCATCAGCTTCATCATCATCATCATCATCATCATCATCATCATCATCATCATCATCATCATCGCCATCGTCATCGTCATCGTCATCGTCGTCATCATCATCATCATCATCATCATCATCATCATCATCATCATCATCATCATTATCAGCATCATCCGTAGCCATATGACTCAAACCAATCCTGGGAGGCTGTTCGCTCCCCAGGCGACACTTATGCTGCTATTCCGCGGCTAATTCAACTTCTCGGTGTCTGTTGGTCCGCCTCAGCAGACGCCCGAACCGTTCATTCGGGTGATCGTCACCGCACTTCGGATCCTGAATTGGCATGGCCCCGCAGCGAGGTTACTTCACGTGTGACCCGTGGGTGCGTGCCGCCTTGCCGCCAAAACTGCAAGAGGGAACGTGGACCCCCAAGGATCCTTACACGTTTTGCCCTTGTGGGCATTGGACTTACGATCGTCTCTTGCGCAAACGGGGTCACTGCGTTGAGTGCGGCTCCGAGCTCACGCCTTCGCAGGAATCTGGCAGTGGAGGGGGTGGTGCCGCAGCAGGAGGTGCTGGCGGAGGTGGGCACGGCGGCGGTGCGCGCGTGGCGAAACCCCTTGTCACGGCCGCCTCCCAGCTCGCCTTCATGCAGAAGCTCGCACCTGACCTGCCGCCTGACAAGGGGCAGGCTCTGCTCGAGGAGTTCGGCATCAAGAAGCCTGCGGTTACCGCCCACAGGATCGGCCAGGGCACGGAGGTGCAGGCGGCTGAGGGCCGACAGAGGGCGGCCTCCAACACGCCCCAGCAGGCTTTGGAACGCCAGGTCCGGGCCGAAAAGATGTTGGCAGAAACTCGAAAGAGGATTGACGATGCGATGCAGGAGGAACGTGCTGCGAAGAAAGAGGTCGAGGACGCTGCGCGGCGCACGGCGCAGCGCGCGCTCCCGCGTGAGGAACCCTTGGCCAAGAAGTCTGCTGTGCACATCGAGGCGTTGCTGGCTGACCCATCGTCCCTCTCTTTCGACTTGGATGAGGATTTGGATATGTCCACCGACATCTGCTCTGACGAGGAGCGGAAGCAGTTGGCTCGTTTCGCCCAGGACTGTGCTGAGAAAGCCCACCAGCTGCGGGGCACAGATTTCGCAGCGGCTCGCGCGAAGCGTCAACTTTGACCACGTCAGGGAAAAAGCGCAAGAAGAGGGAAAGAGAGCCCAGCAAGGCAGCAGGCGCACCGCCTCCCGCGCATGCGGCCGCGGGTGGGGCTGGGGCCGCTGCAGGTCCAGCCGCCTCGACGGCCGCGGGATCGCCGCCGCCCGCGCAGGATGACGCCGCCCTGCGCGCCGCCCGCGAAGCCGCCGAGGCGCGCGCTGCGCGGGCCGCCGCGAAGCGGGAGGCGGCGGCGGGCGCCAAGGCTGGCGCTGGCGTTCCCCCCCGAGGGCACGACGGCCGCCAAGCCGAAGTCGAAGAAGGTTCCGCACTCGTCCCCGAATACCCTGAAGACCACTTACGGCAACATATATATCTCAATGGGGTCCTCAAACTGAGCGTCTGCTCGCGGAAGCCCAATTCCACATTGTCTTTCTCGTCGAGACCCGTGCTCTGGGCCATGTCACGATGAAGATGCAGAAGACTATGCGCCGCCTGGGCCGGAAGGCGGTGGTTGGAGCTGCTGACGGCGCGGGCGCTGACTCGTCCTCGGCTGGAGTGGCTGTTTTTGCTCGCTCTCACTTGGTTTTTTTTCAGTGTGTGAATCGAGGCGTCTGGTGGGTGGTGGAAGAGCGTTTGGTCTCGATCATGCTTGGCTGCTTTGCGTCTTCAGCATGTGGTTATCACGCTGGTCCCAGTTTATCTGGTCTCAGGTGCTGGTTTTAATGGCAAGCATTTGCAAATGTTGTCCCGGCTCGGGGCCCGCGTCAGTCAGGTGTCCGGCCCATTGCCGTTGAATTCGCTGGCGATAAGCAGAATTCTGTCGAGGCCATTGCCGGCGTGAGCTTTCTCAGCAGGCATGGTCCGGGCGGGGCCCCCACTGACTTTTCCGCCACCTGCGCTCGCGGCAAGGGCGCGGCCAGCAAGATCGATGTCGGTTTGGTCCAGCGATTTCCTGTCGGACGCCCGCTTCGGCGGCCAGGGCGTCGCGGCGCCGCGGAGCACGCGTTCGGCGCTGTAGTTCGAGCTGCAGACATCGCCCGGGCTCCTCGATGGGGCGTCGCGCAGAGGAGCCCAAGGCGCTCGACGTCTCGACGGGGCCCTGTAGCGGGGCGATGCTGCGCTCCGCGATCGGGCCCTGATCGGTCCAAAGCCTGCTCGATGCAGGTCAAATCTTCCGCTGGCGAAGTTGGCCAGCGGGCGGCGCGGCGCCCTGCGCTCTGCAGTCGATCTCGGCAATTCGCTCTATGTCGGGGCCCGCGCTCGAGCTGGTCGCGCGCGCGAGCAAATCTCCCTGAAAGTGTCTGGCCCCAGCGCGTGGGTAGGTGCCATGCCCCCCGCGCGCGGTGGGCTCCCCTGGCTCCCAGAGCCGCTGAGGGCCCTCCTCTCGTCGACAGGCGCGCCCGTTTTTTGGCGGGCCCGCGCTTCCCAGTTGGCCGTTCTAAAGTGTTTGGTGGACCCTGGCGGAGCCCATTGACCCTCGGCCTTCGCGCGCTGCCCAGCACTGGAGCCAGGGCAGAGAGCTCGAGGTGATCGCCCCGCCCGGAGCCCTCGACGCATCTGGCGCCCGCGAGGCGGCGTTTCTCTCGAGGTGGATCGACCGGCTTCGGCGCCTCCGCGAGCTGCCCGCTGAGGGCCCCCAGCAGAGGCCGAGGCCGAGGCGAGGGCCCGCCGAGGGTGCCGAGGGCAAACGAGCCCCCAATGTCGCGGCGAATGCCGCGCGTGGCCGTTGGAAGGCCCGGCTCGGCGAAGCCTCTTAAAAGGCCGCCGCCCCGGCCCGCGGGCCCCTCCCGGGGCCCATGGGGCCTCGGGAGGAGCCCGTCTTTAAAAAGCATCCTGCTGCCACCCCAGCGTATCTCCTCGAGGCCACTGCTCGGGGGTCCGACCCCGCGGCCCCCGTCGCCCCTGACCGGGCGAGACCAGCTTCACGCTCAGTCCCCGACGGGCGGCCCCGGGCGGGGTCGCGGCTTGGACGGGGCGCCGCCTCGCCCGTCAAGGGTGCCTCCCCAGAGGGCCAGGTTGCTCTGGCTGCCCTCCTAACTGCCGTGGAATATGAGGGCGCGAGAGCGCCCTGCCCAGAATTGTTCAATGCGACCTGCCTCCTCGACGAATAGGATGGATGTCTTCGGCGCGTGCCCTCGCTGAAGTTCCGCTTCGCCCAACGTTGCTGCACGGGCAAACCGACGATTGGCGCTCGGGGCAGAGCTGGCCGCGGGTTGCGGGGCATGACGGTTGCCGGCTCAGCGGGGCACGCGGGCTGGGTCGACGAGCTCGAGAAGGGGTCGGCTGTCACGGGGGGTTCATCGACGGCGGGAGGTTTGCTCGACGTGCGAAAACTGGACGATTTAGTTTACCTGCCCGGCCCTGCCGCAACTGCCCACTCTCGGCCACCCCTCGCGCCCCTCGCCCTCGCTCTCGACGTTTTCCGCGGCCCTCGCCCCCTGGCCCTCTAGAGGGTGATCCATCCTGGGCTGCCCCCTGCAGGCGGCTAGCGGTGCGCGCGCAGGCAGTTTTCTCAGGCCCGGGTCTCCTGCGTTTCTGCGCGAGCCCCCCAGCAGAACTCGACCGATGGCCCAGGCCTGCATTTGCTCGAGTGGATCGATGATTTCACTGTCGGGATTGCTGGCGCAGAACAGTCAATCAGCACTGATGCCCAACAATTGCCTTCTGCACCCTCCCTGAAGGTCTTAGGCGCAGGAGATGCGTTCTGTCGGTGAAGAACCGAATCTGCCGCGGTGCGCTCGCGGTTGAACGCCTGGGCCGCCGAAGCTGGAGATGAGGCGATCGTCTTTCCTGGCGACCGGGGGCCTCGGCCATGGCGCTGCGTTCGGCGCGGTCAGATCGGTCAAAATTCGCTAGGGGTCGCAGGGCCGCCCTCAAAATTGCGGGCTCTGCCCGGCCTCGGCCTCGGGCGACCAAAATATATTGCACAGGCAACTTTCCCAAGGCTGCTTGGGCCCTTGAGGTCCACGGCCTGGCCCCTTCCACTCTGCGACTATTGCGCGGCCGACGCCGTCTGGGCAGCATGTGCCCGCAGCGGGGCTCGCGCGCCACCGCGGCTATCCGGATTTCTCCCGGGGCGGGCCGTGAACTGCGGATTCAATGTTCATGAGCTCATTTGCGCCTGGTTGTCTCGACTTTTCTCTGCGCCTGGCCTCGCCGAGAATCCGCGGGCGCTGGTCTGCGCCCCTCGCGCGCGCGCCCAGGGGCCGGCGCTGGGTCCGAGGGCTCTCCGGGGCCTGTCAGGTCTCTTTTGCCTCTCTTGGGCGGGGGCGCCCCTCGCTCGACGCGGCCCGCCCGGCGGCTTCGGCTGGGGGCCGATCGATCAGGGCGTTGCCCCGCCAGCCGGGCCCCTGAATGGCCTCGAGGCCACGATTGAGGTGCGCGCTTGGCCCCGAGCCTTCAAGCGCCTCGACGGCTCTGGGGGCGAGGGCGGAGGCCGGTTCCAGCGCGTTGCTTCTCTCGCCGAAAGGCCGCAGAAAAGCGAACAGCAAGCCCTCGCCAGCATGGCCCGATCGGCGGCCCAGGGCGGCATCGGACGGAGCGCCGGCAGTTCCCTGCAGGAAATCGGGCAGACGGTCTGCGCCAGATGCGCCAGAGGCCCCATTGGTACCGGCGCGCGCCGTCGCTGGGAATGCCCATGCCGAAGAATGGCTGAGTCTGCCGGGATCGAGCCTCCTTCGGAATCGGTCGGAACCGACCGCCTGACCCAGCGCGCTTTGTCTGAAGTTGGTTATGCCCGATGCATTGGCTCCGAAGGCGCACTCCCCTCGCGCGGCTTGAGCCCCACCTCTTCCCGGGGCCCATCATCTCGAGCGGCGTCGCGTCCAGGCCCAGCCCCTCCCAGGTGGGCCCCGCGAAGAGGGCGGTTCTGGAGGCCGTCGTGGCAAACAGCTCGTGCTCCGTCGAGTCGCCTGGGGTTTTGCGTCGCGTGGCCTCGCCGAGGCCCCTTCCTTGGGGCTCGGGATGTCCCGGTTTGGTGGACAGCCCTAAGCAGACTGCCCCTCGGGCCGGGCTCCTGGCGATGATCGAGATTCCGAGGGAGTTCACCGAGATGAGAATTTAACAATTCTGTCGGACCGCGTCAACCATGCGCACTTATGTGCCCGGCCGCCACGATTGTTGCCAGCTTGAAAACGCCGATATATGCCATGAGTTATGGTGCCTTGCTGAGGCCCGCTCGGCTCATCGTTTCTCGTCCACGCCCCCCCCCATATTGACGAGAACGAAATCAGGCGCTCGCGTTTCAGCACCGGGGCCGAAGAAAATTTGATGTTCATAAGCTCGGTGGGCGACGGGCTCGCTGATGAGCGAGCCGAACGCTCCCATGTGTCCGTCGGCATCGCCGACCGTGCCAAAGCCTTCGTCAAGGAGGCCAGGTCGATTTTGCTGCGCCATGCCTCTCTCGCCATCGCTCCCGCCGCCGCCTCGAAGGACCCCGTCCGCCTGGTTCGACCAACGCGTGTCCCGAGGGCCCAGAAGAGGGCTACGGTCGTGCAGCGTGCAAAGGGCAGCACCAACCATGCCTGTCGAGATTTTGACAGAGGATGAGGCTGCTGCCGCTGTGGCAAAATTGTTTTTCGGACCCTGAAGTGTGTCCACTCTTTCTTGCGGACTATGTGCTCAGCCCTTTCGAACACCCTTGCATGACTGTCCACCGTCCCCGCTCGTGCGGCGATCCGCTGGCCTCGAGGGTTTGAATCTCTGCCGCCCTTAGATGACCAGTACTTCAAGTTCAACGGCTGTCCCGACCCCCCTTGGCGTTTCGAGGGCCAGGGTTGGAGGGGCCACGTCCTGCATGGCTCTCATGTTTTGTGGGGACAGGGCGGTGTTGTTTCATGTGGTGTCTGCGGGAGGTATGCCGAGGGCCCCCCAAAAACCTCTCTCGTTTGAGTGCGAGGCCTCGTTGTTCGGCCCCCCTTTGTTCATATAAGCCTAGTACGCTGTCATTGTGAGAGGTGGGAAGATGCTGCCTCCCCGCCGTGGGACGAAGGAGTGGGGACAGCGGCGCTTCTTGGCCCTCCCCCCAATGGTTTGCAACCCTGGATTGCAGCTTGCTTCCAGCAGAAAAATATAATCATCAGCATCATTATCATTCTCATCAGCATCAAGATCATCATCACCACCAACATCATAATCATAATAAACTTCACCCACAGCATCATCACCATCATCACCCCCCAGTCCTATCACCAACATAAACATCATCACCATCATCATCAGCATCATCATATCATCACCACCAGCGCCTGCTGCATCATCAGCATCGTCCTCATCACCATCATCGTCGCTATCATGTTCAACATGATCAGCTTCAGCATCAGCATCCGCGACATCAGCATCGTAATCATCATCCTTGTCGTAGTTACCATCAACATCACCATCATCACCATCCCCATCACCATCATCACCGTCGCCCTCCTCAACTTGCTCATCCTCATAATCCGAATCCTAGTATTGACCATGATTAGAATAGAAAGAACAACCAGAAATACCACCATCCTCATCGTCACCATCATCATCGTCATCGCCATCATCAGCATCAGCATAATTCTCATACTCATACTACTACTCATTCTCCTACGCACGCATACTCCTATCCCTACCAATACGCATCAGCATCATCAACATCACCAACGTCATCCTAATCCTCATCATCGCCAGCAGAAACAATAGCAACAACAACATTAACCTCATCAAACTTATGATCCTCGTCGACGTCGCCGCCGCAGCCACCACCATCATCATCATTGTCCTCCCTGCTCCTCCTCCTCCTCCTCCTCCTCCTCCCCTCCTCTTCCTCCTTTCCTTTTCCTTATTCCTCCCTGTCGCACCCCGAGGCGGGTCGAAAAGGGCGGACCAGACATCCCGCTTGAGCATCAGTATCCATGATCTTGAAGGCCGAAGTGTTCGATACTTTCACGGATGAAGGGCTGGTGGTTTTCTAACTGTGACTCTGGCCCAAGTTCTTCGCAGATTCGCTGGAAAAGTTTGCAGCAAATTCACAGATGGAGGGCGGGTTGTTTTCAGCATGTGACTCTTGACGAACGAACAGCACAAACCCATACCCATGAGGGGGTCGTTGGGAGGAGGACTGGCTATGGGTATGGGTGCGGTTTGTCGGACCCTGGGGAACGCTCCCGTTCGAGCGGGGACCCCCATCCGACAACACGCACCCATAGCCCTCTCCGACCCCCTATGGGTATGGGTGTGTGCTGTTGGTTCGTCAGCTCTCACCTGCGCGCCACGCCCACTCGTCTTACAAGTTCGCGGGAGCTTCGCGGCTGGAGGGCGGTTCCTTTCCAACAGATGATGTCTGCCTTAGCGCTGCGCGCAGTCGTTTTAAGAGTCTGCATCAGCTTCAAGGATCCTCAGAATTACCATACCAAACAACATGTTTTGGTACGGTGTCGGACTGTCAGGGCGCTACAGCTATGTTGATTCGTGGGGCTGAAGTCCCTGACATGTGGGTCTGGCGCGAATCAGGATCGTCAAGACGCAAGACTAAAACTGATTCGCGACGTTGAAGTCCCAGAAGGGCGTTCTGGCGCGGCTCCAGATTTTCAAACGGTTGTCTGTCAACGGGGCACTTCCCTCAGTGAAAATGAGTCATTGTGGGGGCGTCTGAAGAGGGAACTTGGAGGGACGGATTTTGCAATATCGTTGCTGAGTCTTGGGTTTGCACTGGTCCTCCTCCCTCCTCCTCGCCATCCTCCCACTTCCCTGGCACCCCTGGTCTTGTCCAATTCGGTGGGGGGGCTCTCCCGCGTACGTTCGTCTGTTTGGACGAACGGTTTTCAAAAGTTGGCATGACTGGAATATCCATCCTGCTCCTGATCGGTACAGGCTTCGTACCACCCCCCTGCTCATCCTGCTCCTGATGCTGCTGCCCATCATCCTTGTCCTCCTCCTTGACCCTGATCCTCCTCCTCCTCCTCCTCCTCTTCCCCCTCCTCCCACCTCCTCCTCCACCTCCTCCTTGTGGTCCTCCACTTCCTCTATCCTCTCTCCTCTCTCCAATATTCCTCCTCACTTCCGCTCCTCCTCCTCCTCCTCCTCCTCCTCCTCCTCCTCTCTCCTGTTGCTCCTCCTTATCCTTCTCATATATTCCTTTTCCTAGTTGATATTCTTACTTCCGCCTCTCTCCTCTATCCTCCTCCTTCACCTCTCCTCTCTTCTCCTTCTCCTCCTCCTCCTCCTCGTCTTCCCTCTTCGTCCTCCTTGTTCATCCTCCCTGGGGGGAGCGCGTAACCGTACATTGCCTGCGCGCAGGGTCCCAGGTCCTCCTTCACGATGAGGAGCAGGGCTGAACCTAAACGGTGTTGTTCGTTTTCGTTTTGGTTTCGTTGTCCCTCGTGTTGTCTTCAATCCGCCTTTACCCCAAAACGAAATCGGAACGAAAACGGCCCATGAAATCGCCCAAACACCGTTTAGGTCCAGTGACTGTTTTGGCTGCCTCTGTGGTGGAGGGGCTTGGGGGCACTCGTCGCCGCGGCTGGGCGCAGCTCGAACGGGCCAGGATGGTGCCCAGGAGGGGTCCGGGGACTGTCCGCCATACCTCGCGCGACAGACATACCGAGAATATCCATGGAATCGGGGTCCAGATGCCGAAGCGCGAGCCTACGGATGCAACCTACCAAGGATACGTTTCGCGCGGAACATCCACGCACAGCGGCCCTGCCCTCATGGAAAGGCGAACTAGGGATCCAGACTGCGAGGACGTGGATATGGATAAGTTGTCAGCCCACGAAATCTGAAGACGGGGCAAGTTTGGAGAGAAGGGGAAGGAGCATGAAGAAAAGGAGTCCTGACCCAAGTCTTCCCCCAGGACCAGCAGTTCATCCTAAGTTGTTTTTGGTCTCGGCACCAGGGCCTGGTGAGGGTACCAACGGCCCGAAAACAACGAAACAAGTCAAGGGCCCGTTCCCCCATGGGCGGAGGCGGTTTGGGCCCCCCACCCCAGGGCGACCGGCTAGCAGACCGCACTTGAACGCCATCCTCGGTGGCCGCTTGGCAGACCGTCGTCGCAGACGTCGCCGTCGCCGCCGTCGCCATAGTCGTCAACGTCGTCGTCGCCGCCGTCGTCGTCGTCGTCGTCGCCGCCGTCGTCGTCGTCGTCGTCGTCGTCGTCGTCGTCGTCGTCGTCGTCGTCGTCGTCGTCGTCGTCGTCGTCGTCGTCGTCGTCGTCGTCGTCGTCGTCGTCGTCATCGACGTCGTCGTCGTCGCCGTTGTCATCCTCGTCGTCGTCTTCGTCGTCGTCATCGTCGCTGTTGCTGCCGTCCTCCTCGTCGCTGTCGTCGTCGTCGGTCGAGGATCGACAGAATCGATCCAGACTCGAGGGTGGAGGCCCGAGGCCTCCGCACGCGTTCGGCACTTTGAAGGGCCTCCAGAGGCTGCGTCTCGTCGGGATCTCTGGCCATGCCTTTTTGACACCTTCTCCTGCTCCTGCTCCTGCTCCTGCTCCTGCTCCTGCTCCTCCTCCTCCTCCTCCTCCTCCTCCTCCTCCTCCACGTGACTCGCGCTTCCCAGAGGTCGAGAGGACGTCGAACTTGTTCGCGGCAGAGCAGCGCGGCGGCAAAAACCTCCTCCTCGTGACTCGTGACTGAGGGCTGTCTCCTCCGAAGGGCAAAGCCCGCGACACGCCCCACCTACCCGTCCTCTCCCCATCCGCACTCGGCTTGATTGGGGGGCGGGGGCGGGGCGCGCGTCGCTCCTCCTCATCCGCCTCCTCTTAGATTGGACGAAGGGCTTAGTAAAGAGGAGGGGGTCCCTCGAATCAACTTACGAATCCCTACCGGCGCCCGAAAGCGCCAACCGATCGAGGAAAGACACCCGGCGGCGGGGCCTAAACCTGCTGCATGCAGCAAATCCCGACCCCCTTCTCAATGCCCAGACATCTGGCGTCGTGAGTCTTCGCAGCGTGGCTCGCCAGAGGTCTGGGCCCCTTACTGGGGGCTGGCGTTTCATCACGAGCCTCGCCATTGCTCGGACGTCCATTCCCCGTGCATGTTTCGACTTCGTGAGTTTATTTTTCGTCAGATGGCCATACTGTTCCTCGGTGACATGCACGCGTCTGAGCGATGCCAAGGAGTTATGCTTGACGGCCAAGGGGCCTCCGAAGGCCGAAGCTGTCCAAGAACATCCGGCCATGCGGGGGGTGGCCGTGTCGGTGGTTGTTCTTTTTGCTCGCCTGGTCCCCCCGCCGCCCCCCTGGTCATCGCCCCCCTCTTCGCCGCCCCTCAGAGCGGATCGAAGCGGGCCCCGGGAGGCGGAGGCGGCGCGGCGGCGCCGTCCTGCGCGCGAGCAGCGCCGCGGCCTTCCGCGGGCCCAGGGGCCGCGCGGCGCGGAGCGCCAGCGCGTCCGAGGTGGCCTTGCCTAAGGGGGGGGGAGGCGACCACGAATCTCCAACCAGGGACCCCCCCCCCCGAGGCCCCCGAGGCCCCCGGGGCGCTCCCAAGAGGCCCCAGGAGGCCTCCCCGAGCCTCCCGAGGAGCCGACCACGGCAGGCCGCCAGGAGCGACGAAAAGACACAGGCCTCACGCGGGAGGACACAGCGGCATCACGCGGCGGCTCACGCGGGCCGCCAGTGCGCCACGCCACACTGGAGACGAGGGCGCTTACGCGCCACCGAACGCGGGAGGCTTCCGCGCCAATGTTGGTCAAGACGACCCCGCTTGCCTGCGTCGCTCACGTCGCGAAACAATAGAGTCGGAGTTCCGATCGGGAATCCCGGGTCGGGGCTGGGCGGCTGGACCCCCATCCATGGCGCGCGGAGCGCGCCCGGAGCGGCGCAGGAGTCGCCGACAACTACGGGGCGGTAGCAGCTGCGAGGCCAGGGAGGGCGCCGACCACGGCAAGCAAACGTCGCGAAACAAACAAAATAACGGCGCAGGGTTCCAGCAGTTGTCACTGGCTCTCGGAGGTCAATCTCGCCAAGGGATGCGACCGACGTGGCCTTGCCTGGGAGGGCGCCGACCACAGCAGGCCCACGTCGCGAGATGCAACATCTAAAAATAATACATGGAACAATAAGAGGAGTCTCTCCCCGAAAACAAATCCCAGAGACCCCCAGAGGCCCACGAGGCGCCCCAGAAAGGCCCCAAGAGGCCTCCCCGAGGCTCCCAAGAAGCTGGCCGACCACGGCAGGCCCACGTCGCGAAACAAAACGAAAACGGTGCAGGTGTTCGGAAGTAGTCGCTGACCCTTGGGAAGCGGTCGCGGCGCAGGCATCCTGGCCGTCGGTATCCTCGACCCCCGATGCCGACGACGGCGACGACGACTACCAACGCCGATGGCGACATCGACGACGGCGACCGTCGACTACGTGGCACAACAGAACAACGATCGGGCCAGGCGAAAGGGGGGGATAGCAAAGGGGGGGTTCAGAATCAGCTCGCGCAGCTGATTTTCACGGCGCCTCCCGGCGCCCGAGGCGGCCATATATCGAGGAGTGGGCCCCTCGGTTCGGTGGGGCCCACAACCAGCTGCATGCAATGCAGCAGATTTCGTAACCCCCCCATTTCCAATCTCCCCCTTTCGTCTGGCCCGAAACGAGGCAGGCTCTTGGAAGTTGTCGCTGGCCCTTGGAGATCCGTCTCGCGGCCATGGCCGCGGCGCAGCTCGGAGCGCTGGCCAGGATTTACCACAGGAGGGGTCCCTGGGGCTGTTCTCGGACGGATCTTGGTCGGGGGCAGGGCGCTGGGTGCGAGGTGGGGGTCTATACATGTCCACTGCCTGAGGAACCGACGTCCTGGGACCCCGGCAAGCGGTGGGGATGGATATACTTTGGGCCCCATGGGGAGCGAACTTGTCCCCCCAGGCGATGATCATGGATACACCTCCACCTCGGAACAATGGCAGGCCCACGTCGCGCAACCCCCCTAACAATTACGCTACCGAGGAACCCCACATACTTATATGATGGCTGGAGTGATGATAGCTGAAGTGAAGCATGTGAGAATGATGTAGGTGGCCGTTGCCCCGCCGATACCGTTGGTGACGCCACTCAAGAGGAGAGGTGGAAGAGGAGAAGCGCCGCGCCAGCCACACTCTACGAGCCCGGTGACCTGGACGACCGGCGCGCATAGCGGCCGCGATGAGGGACCACCCCCTGCGCACCCCGTCTGGTGTCGAGAAAGCGCCACGCCTGCTATGCCCTAGACGACCGTTGTGCATAGAGTCCGCGGTGAGGGACCAACCCCTGCGCACCCTCTATGGTGTCGAGAAAGTGCCACGCCTGCTATGCCCTGGACGACCGTCGTGCATAGAGTCCGCGCTCAGGGACCACCTCCTGCGCAGCCCCTGTGGTGTCGAGAAAATGAAACGCCTGTTATGCCCTGGACGACCGTCGTGCATAGAGGCCACGCTCAGGGACCACCTCCTGCGCAGCCCCTATGGTGTCGAGAAAGTGCCACTCCTGCCACGCTTTACGAATCCGAAACGGATAGGGAGACCACCCCCAGCGCACCCCCTGTGGTATCGAGGAAGTGTCAAGCCTTCCACGCTTTGCGAGCCCGAAACGGATATGGAGACCACCCCCAGCGCACCCCCGATGGTGTCGAGGAAGTGCAACGCCTGCCACGCTTTGCAAGACCGAAACGGATATGGAGACCACCCCCAGCGCAGCCCCTGTGGTGTCGAGGAAGTGGCACACCTGCCACGTTTTGCGAGACCGAAATGGATAGGGAGACCACCCCCAGCGCACCCCCTGGTGTCGAGGAAGTGCCACACCTGCCGCGCTTTGCGAGCCCGAAACGGATAGGGAGACCACCCCCAGCGCAGCCCCTGTGGTGTCAAGGAACTGCCAGGCCTGCCGCGCTTTGCGAGCCCGAAGCGGATAGGGAGTCCACACCCAGCGCACCCCCAGTGTTGCCGAGGAAGTGGCACGCCTGCCACACTTTGCAAAACCGAAACGGATAGGAAGACCACCCCCAGCGCAGCCCCTGTGGTGTCGAGGAAGTGGCACACCTGCCACGCTTTGCGAGCCCGAAACGGATAGGGAGACCACCCCCAGCGCCCCTCCTGTGATGTCGAGAAAATGCCACGCTTGCCGCGATTTCCTAGCCCGAAACGGATGGGGAGACCACCCCCAGCGCAGCCCCTGTGGTGCCGAGGAACTGCCACGCCTGCCACTCTTTGCGAGCCCGAAACGGATAGGGCACCCCTGCCCCGCGCACCCCCTTATGGTGTCGAGGAAGTGCCACGCCTGCCACGCTTTCCGAAGCCGAAGCGGATAGAAAGACCACGTCCAGCGCACCCCCTGAGATGTCGAGGAAGTGCCAAGCCTGCCACGCTTTGCGGGCCCGAAACGGATAGGGAGACCACCCCCAGCGCACCCCATTCTGGTGTCAAGGAAATGCCAAGCCAGCCACGCTTTGCGAGCCGGAAACGGATAGGAAGACCACCCCCAACGCACCCCCTGAGATATCGAGGAAATGCAAAGCCTGCCGCGCTTTGCGAGCCCGAAACGGACAGGGAGACCATCCCCAGCGCACCCCTTGTGGTGTCGAAAGAATGCCAAGCCTGCCACGTCGCGAACCCGAAACGGGCAGGGAGACCACCCCCAGCGCACCCCCTGTGGTGTCGAGGGAGTGCCACGCCTGCCACGCTTTGCCAGCCCGAAACGGATAGGGAGACCACCTCCAGCGCACCCCTTGTGGTGTCGAGGAAGTGCCACGCCTGCCACGCTTTGCGAGCCCGAAACGGATAGGGAGACCAACCCCAGCGCACCCCCTGTGGTATCGAGGAAGTGCCACGCCTGCCACGCTTTGCGAGCCCGAAACGGATAGGGAGACCACCCCCAGCGCACCCCCTGTTGTGTCGAGGAACTCCCACACCTACCATGCTTTGCGAGCCCGAAACGGATAAGGAGACCACCCCCAGCGCACCCCCTTTGTGGTGTCGAGGAAGTGCCACACCTGCCACGCTTTGCGAGCTCGAAACGGATAGGGAGACCACCCCCAGCGCACCCCCTGTGGTGTCGAGGAAATGCCATGCCTGCCACGCTTCGCGAGCCCGAAACGGATAGGGAGACCACCTCCAGCGCCCCCCATGTGGTATCGAGGAAGTGCCACGCCTGCCACGCTTTGCGAGCCCGAAGCGGATAGGGAGACCACCCCCTGCACACCCCCTCGAGAAAGTGCAACGCCTCTTGTTGTCGCGCATGTGCTGCGCACCCCCTCTGGTGACGACAGAGTGCCACGCCTGCCGTGCCCTGCGCCATGGCCTGCATAGAGGCTCCTGCCATCCACTGCGAATCCTACACGCACGTCTTGTATATGGCATGCCATGTGTATGTGTGTGATGCGTGTGCGGCCGTATCGGAACGTGTGCCTCACGTGGGTGCCCAGTATGTTGTGCATACGTCATGGGTGTATGATGACGCGAACATGCGTCTTGTGTGTGCGAGTGTGTGCATGCGTGCGGCTGTATGTAGACGCGTGTCTCATACACTGGCCGTGCATGTTTTGAGCGCGGGTCAAGGGAGGAAGGGAAACAGAAGAGGGGAGGTGTGAGGAGGAGACGCGGGTGCGCCGCGGCAGGGAAGAATTACGCTACCGAGGAACCCCACATGCTTGTATTATGGCTGGAGTGATGATAGCTGAAGTGAAGCATGTGAGAATGATGTTGGTGGCCGTTGCCCCGCCGATACCGTTGGTGACGCCACTCAAGAGGAGAGGTGAAAGAGGAGAAGCGCCGCGCCAGCCACACTTTGCGAGCCCGGTGACCTGGACGACCGGCGCATAGCGGCCGCGGTGAGGGACCACCCCCTGCGCACCCCGTCTGGCGTCGAAAAAGAGCCACGCCTGCTATGCCGTGGACGACCGTCGTGCATAGTGGCCGCAGTGAGGGACCAACCCCTGCGCACCCTCTGTGGTGTCGAGAAAGTGCCACGCCTGCCACGCTTTACGAATCCGAAACGGATAGGGAGACCACACCCAGCGCACCCCCTGTGGTGTCGAGGAAGTGCCACGCCTGCTATGCCCTGGACGACCGTCGTGCATAGAGGCCGCGCTCAGGGACCACCTCCTGCGCAGCCCCTGTGGTGTCGAGAAAATGAAACGCCTGTTATGCCCTGGACGACCGTCGTGCATAGAGGCCACGCTCAGGGACCACCTCCTGCGCAGCCCCTATGGTGTCGAGAAAGTGCCACTCCTGCCACGCTTTACGAATCCGAAACGGATAGGGAGACCACCCCCAGCGCACCCCCTGTGGTGTCGAGGAAGTGCCACGGCTGCCACGCTTTGCGAGCCCGAAACGGATAGGGAGACCACCCCCAGCACCCCCTTTTGTGTCGATGAAGTCCCACACCTACCTGCTTTTCAAGCCCGAAACGGATAAGGAGACCACCCCCAGCGCACCTCCTGTGGTGTCGAGGAACTGCGACGCCTGCCGCGCTTTGCGAGCCCGAAACGGATAGGGAGATCACCTCCAGCGCACCCCCCTGTGTGTCGAGGAAGTGCCCGCCTGCCACGCTTGCGAGCCCCGAAACGGATAGGGAGACCACCCCCAGCGCACCCCCTGTGGTGTCGAGGAAGTGACACGCCTGCCACGCTTTGCGAGACCGAAATGGATAGGGAGACCACCCCCGGTGCACCCCCTGTGGTGTCGAGAAAGTGCCACGCCTGCCGCGCTTTGCGAGCCCGAAACGGATAGGGAGACCCCCCCCAGCGCAGCCCCTGTGGTGTCGAGGAACTTCCACGCCTGCCACGCTTTGCGAGCCCGAACCGGATAGGGAGACCACCCCCAGCGCAGCCGCTGTGGTGTCGAGGAAGTGGCACACCTGCCACGCTTTGCGAACCCGAAACGGATAGGGAGACCACCCCCAGCGCACCCCCTGTGGTGTCGAGGAAGTGCCACGCCTGCCACGCTTTGCGAGCCCGAAACGGATAGGGAGACCACCCCCAGAGCACCCCCTTGTGGTGTCGAGGAAATGCCACGCCTGCCACACTTTGCAAGACCGAAACGGATAGGGAGACCAGCCCCAGCGCAGCCCCTGTGGTGTCGAGGAAATGCCACGCCTGCCACGCCCGAAACGGATAGGGAGACCACCCCCGGCGCACTCCCTGTGGTGTCGAGGAAGTGGCACACCTGCCACGCCCGAAACAGATAGGGAGACCACCCCCAGCGCACCCCCTTGTGGTGTCGAGGAAATGCCACGCCTGCCACACTTTGCAAGACCGAAACGGATAGGGAGACCACCCCCAGCGCAGCCCCTGTCGAGGAAGTGTCGAGGAAGTGTGCAGTGCCACGCCTGCCACGCTTTGCGAGCCCGACACGGATAGGGAGACCACCCAGCGCACCCCCTGTGGTGTCGAGGTATGCCACGCCTGCCACGCTTTGCGAGCCCGAAACGGATAGGGAGACCCCCCCCCGCGCAGCCCCTGTGGTGTCGAGGAAGTGCCACGCCTGCCACGCTTTGCGAGCCCGAAACGGATAGGGAACCACCCCCAGCGCACCCCCTGTGGTGTCGAGGAGTGCCAGTGCCACGCCTGCCACGCTTTGCGAGCCCGAAACGGATAGGGAGACCACCCCCAGCGCACCCCCTGTGGTATCGAGGAAGTGCCGCGCCCGCCACGCTTTGCAAGACCGAAACGGATAGGGAGACCAGCCCCAGCGCAGCCCCTGTGTTGTCGAGGGTGCGCGAAGCCTGCCACGCTTTGCGAGCCCGAAACGCATAGGGCAACCACCCCCAGCGCACCCCTTTTGGGTGTCGAGGAAATGCCACGCCTGCCACGCTGTGCGAGCCCGAAACAAGCAGGGATACCACCCCCAGCGCACCCCCTTGTGGCGTCGAGGAAGTGCCACGCCTGCCACTCTTTGCGAGCCCGAAACGGGCAGGGAGACCACCCCCAACGCACCCCCTGTGGTGTCGAGGAAGTGCCACGCCTGCCACGCTTTTCGAGCCCGAAACGGATAGGGAGACCACCCCCTGCGCACCCCCTGTGGTGTCGAGGAAGTGCCACGCCTGCCACACTTTGCAAGACCGAAACGGATAGGGAGACCAGCCCCAGCGCAGCCCCTGTGGTGTCGAGGAAGTGGCACACCTGCCACGCCCGAAACGGATAGGGAGACCACCCCCGGCGCACTCCCTGTGGTGTCGAGGAAGTGGCACACCTGCCACGCCCGAAACGGATAAGGAGACCACCTCCAGCGCACCCCCTGTGGTGTCGAGGAAGTGCCACGCCTGCCACGCTTTGCGAGCCCGACACGGATAGGGAGACCACCCCCAGCGCACCCCCTGTGGTGTCGAAGATATGCCACGCCTGCCACGCTTTGCGAGCCCGAAACGGATAGGGAGACCCCCCCCAGCGCAGCCCCTGTGGTGTCGAGGAAGTGCCACGCCTGCCACGCTTTGCGAGCCCGAAACGGATAGGGAGACCACCCCCAGCGCACCCCCTCGAGAAAGTGCAACGCCTCTTGTTGTCGCGCATGTGCTGCGCACCCCCTCTGGTTACGACAAAGTGCCACGCCTGCCGTGCCCTGCGCCATGGCCTGCATAGAGGCTCCTGCCATCCACTGCGAATCCTACACGCACGTCTTGTATATGGCATGCCATGTGTATGTGTATGATGCGTGTGCGGCCGTATCGGAACGTGTGTCTCACGTGGGTGCCCAGTATGTTGTGCATACGTCTTGGGTGCATGATGCAGTGAACATGTGTCTTGTGTGTGTGTGCGAGTGTGTGCATGCGTGCGGCTGTATGTAGACGCGTGTCTCATGTACTGGCCGTGCATGTGTTGAGCGCGGGTAAGGGGAAGAGGGAAGAGAGAGGAGGGAAGGTGTGAGGAGGAGACGCGGGTGCGCCGCGGCAGGGAAGAAAACCATAACCCCACGAAACATGTGGGGAAAACCAGAACTCCACGAAACATGTGGGACAAAATTCAAAGTGTTCGGAAGTGTCGGGGAGACGTAAAACTTCGGGGGACTCGGGTTGGCCTGACGGGGCCATCATGAACATGACGAGACCCAATCTGAAATTTGACGCGAGCTCCCGCTGCAGACATCCCACAAAAGCTGGACCGTCCAAACCCAGGACACGCTGATCGAAAAGCGTTGGCGACCCCGAGTTCTGGCGTACCCGAATCTGGAAGCCTCGCGAAGTGTGCCAGCATCTGTGCCTCGCCGGCAGCGGCCTGGGGGTGCCCGAACCGTCCCGAACGTTCGCCAGAGGCGACGCATCGATCCGCCCCTCACGTCGCGAGTAGGAGATCGACTGCAGAGTCGACTCACTCCGAAATTGCTTTCTTCGCCGAATGTACAAACATGTACGTGGAATGTTCGTAGATGTACGAAGGTCATACGTACTCTTCGTACATTGGACGAACAAACCATGTGGTCGATCCATTATGTAGTCGACCTCCTACTCTAGCATTGCCGTGGCGACGAGAAGCCTCCGGGGGGCCACCAAAGAACGACAACTGCCAGGCCAGGCCGCCCTTGTCTCGACAACGGCCCTCCTCCGATGCATGGGCCATCCCTCGTATGGTGATTCAAAGATTGGGTCCTGAGGGATGGGGTCCGAAGGACAGGAAGGGATTTAAGGGTCAATTTACGTTGTTTGAGGCACCTCGTCTTTAGAACCCCATCCCTCGCAGCCCCGTCTTTGAACCACACGAGGGGCGGCGCTGGTGTGCAGTTGGTGCTCCCCAGCAACCGAGCGTGCGCGCGCCGCGCAGCGCGGCGGTCACCGCGAGAAACTGGGCGGGGGTCCGCACGGACGGGTAGCACCTTCGGGCCACTGGGCCACAGGTAGCTGGCGGCGCACACAAAGGGGTGGAGCTAGGGGAGCAAGTATTTTAGAAGGAGACTGCTTCTTAGAAGGCGCCGGCCTTACATCAAAAAATAAGGCGCGCGCCTCCACAGAAGCAGTGCATCGGATCGGGCTGCAACGGCACGGAGTCGAAATCGGATCGGATCGGCTGCGCCATGCGAACATCGAGCCGTGTCAGGCCGTACTCGGGTCCACTCGACCCGTCCTCGGGGCATCTCGGGCCGCCTCGAGACCACCGCAGGCCGCCCATGGGGGCCACCTGCCGCTCCTGGAAGCGATCTCGGGGGGGCGACACACTGGGACGAGCCCCCTAGTTGACGGCACGCAGAGGGGGGCAGGGGGAGGGGGGAAGGCTTCTTAGAAGGCGCCGACCTTACATCAAAAAATAAGGCGCGCGCCTCCACAGAAGCAGTGCATCGGATCGGGCTGCAACGGCACGGAGTCGAAATCGGATCGGATCGGCTGCGCCATGCGAACATCGAGCCGTGTCAGGCCGTACTCGGGTCCACTCGACCCGTCCTCGGGGCATCTCGGGCCGCCTCGAGACCACCGCAGGCCGCCCATGGGGGCCACCTGCCGCTCCTGGAAGCGATCTCGGGGGGGGCGACACACTGGGACGAGCCCCCTAGTTGACGGCACGCAGAGGGGGGCAGGGGGAGGGGGGAAGGCTTCTTAGAAGGCGCCGACCTTGCGTTTACAGACAACTCCTGCGCCTTCTAAGAAACAGAGGCGCTTCAAAGAAGAATTCCCTCCGAAATTACACTCTGAATACTACCCTCCTCTCTCCCCTGATGACGTCCGGAATCTGTTCGGCCCCCTTTCCGCGTTTTCTTTTACACACAGGATTCCCAGGAGTTGGGTTTTCGCTTTGTTCCCCATAGTTTCGTGGGGTTATGGTTTTCTTCCCTGCCGCGGCGCACCCGCGTCTCCTCCTCACACCTCCCCTCCTCTCTTTTTCTTCCTCCCCTTACCCGCGCTCAACACATGCACGGCCAGTACATGAGACACGCGTCTACATACAGCCGCACGCATGCACACACTCGCACACACAAAACGCATGTTCACTGCATCATACACCAAATACGTATGCACAACATACTGGGCACCCACGTGGGACACACGTTCCGATACGGCCGCACACGCATCATACACATACACATGGCATGCCATATACAAGACGTGCGTGTAGGATTCGCAGTGGATGGCAGGAGGCTCTATGCAGGCCATGGCGCAGGGCACGGCAGGCGTGGCACTTTGTCGTCGCCAGAAGGAGGTGCGCAGCACATGCGCGACAACAAGAGGCGTTGCACTTTCTCGACGCCACAGAGGGAGCGCAGGGGGGGTCTCCCTATCCGTTTCGGGCTCGCAAAGCGTGGCAGGCGTGGCACTTCCTCGACACCACAAGGGGGTGCGTTGGGGGTGGTCTCCCTATCCATTTCGGTCGCAAAGCGTGGCAGGTGATCCACTTCCTCGACACCACAAGGGCAGCGCAAGAGGTGGTCTCCCTATCCGTTTTAGGATCGCAAGGCGTGACTTGCGTGGCACTTCCTCGACACCACAGAGGGTGCGCTGGAGGTGGTCTCCCTATCCGTTTCGCGCTCGCAAAGCGTGGCAGGCATGGCATTTCCTCGACACCACAAAGGGGGTGCGTTGGGGGTGGTCTCCCTATCCGTTCCGGGCTCGCAATGCGTGGCAGGCGTGGCACTTCCTCGACACCACAAGGGGGTGCGCTGGGGGTGATCTCCCTATCTGTTTCGGGCTCGCAAAGAGTGGCGGGCGGGGAACTTCCTCGACACCACAAGGGGGTGCGCAGGGGGTGGTCTCCCTATCCGTTTCGGGCTCGAAAAGCGTGGCAGGCGTGGCACTTCCTCGACACCACAGGGGGTGCGTTGGGGGTGGTCTCCCTGTCCGTTTCGGGCTCGCAAAGAGTGGCAGGCGTGGCACTTCCTCGACGCCACAAGGGGGTGCGCTGGGGGTGGTATCCCTGCTTGTTTCGGGCTCGCACAGCGTGGCAGGCGTGGCATTTCCTCGACACCCAAAAGGGGTGCGCTGGGGGTGGTTGCCCTATGCGTTTCGGGCTCGCAAAGCGTGGCAGGCTTCGCGCACCCTCGACAACACAGGGGGTGCGCTGGGGGTGGTCTCCCTGCCTGCTTCGTTTTCGCAAAGCGTGGCAGGCGTGGCACTTCCTTGACACCACAAGGGGGTGCGCTGGGGGTGGTCTCCCTATCCGTTTCGGGCTTGCAATGCGTGGCAGTCGTGGCATTTCCTCGACACCACAAGGGGGTGCGCTGGGGGTGGTCTCCCTGCCTGTTTCGGGCTCGGGAAACGCGGCCGGCGTGGCACTTCCTCGACACCAGAGGGGGTGCGCTGGGGGTGGTCTCCCTATCCGTTTCGGGCTCGCAGAGCGCGGCCGGCGTGGCACTTCCTCGACACCACAGGGGGTGCGCTGGGGGTGGTCTCCTTATCCGTTTCGGGCTCGCAAAGCGCGGCAGGCGTGGCACTTCCGCGACGCCACAGGGGGTGCGCTGGGGGTGGTTTCCCTATCTGTTTCGGGCTCGTACAGCGTGGCAGGCGTGGCATTTCCTCGACACCAGAGGGGGTGCGCTGGGGGTGGTCTCCCTATCCGTTTCGGGCTCGCAAAGCGTGGTAGGCGTGACACTTCCTCGACACCACAGGGGGTGCACTGGATGTGGTCTCCCTATCCGTTTCGGGCTCGCAAGGCGTGGCGGGCGTGGTACTTCCTCGACACCACAAGGGGGTGCGCTGGGGGTGGTTTTCCTATCCGTTTCGGGCTCGCAAAGCGTGGCAGGCGTGGCACTTCCTTGACACCACAAGGGGGTGCGCTGGGGGTGGTTGCTGTCCGTTTCGGGCTCGCACAGCGTGGCAGGCGTGGCATTTCCTCGACGCCACAGGGGGTGCGCAGGTGGTGGTCTCCCTATCTGTTTCGGGCTCGCAAAGCGTGGCAGGCTTGGCACATCCTCGACATCTCAGGGGGTGCGCTGGGGGTGGTCTCCCTGTCCGTTTCGGGCTCGCAATGCTTGGCAGGTGTGCCATTTCCTCGACACCACATGGGGGTGCGCTGGGGGTGGTCTCCCTATCCGCTTCGGTGTTGCAAAGTGTGGCAAGTGTGCCACTTCCTCGACATCTCAGGGGGCAGCGCTGGGAGTGGTCTCCCTATCCGTTTCGGGCTCGTAAAGCGTGGCAAACGTGGCATTTCCTCGACACCACATGGGCAGCGCTGGGGGTGGGGGCCCTATCCGTTCCGGGTTCGCAGAGCGCGGCCGGCGTGGCACTTCCTCGACACCACAGGGGGTGCGCTGGGGGTGGTCTCCTTATCCGTTTCGGGCTCGCAAAGCGCGGCAGGCGTGGCACTTCCGCGACGCCACAGGGGGTGCGCTGGGGGTGGTTTCCCTATCTGTTTCGGGCTCGTACAGCGTGGCAGGCGTGGCATTTCCTCGACACCACAGGGGGTGCGCTGGGGGTGGTCTCTCTGCCTGTTTCGGGTTCGCAAAGCGTGGCAGGCGTTACGCTTCCTCGACACCATAAAGGGGGTGCGTTGGGGGTGGTCTCCCTATCCGTTTCGGGCTCGCAAAGCGTGGCGGGCGCGGCACTTCCTCGACACCATAGGGGGTGCGCTGGGGATGGTTGCTCTATCCGTTTCGGGCTCGCAATGCGTGGCAGGCTTGGCATAGACTTCCTCGACACCACAGGGGCTGCGCTGGGGGTGGTCCCCCTATCCGTTTCGGATTCGTAAAGCGTGGCAGGCGTTGCATTTTCTCGACACCATAGGGGCTGCGCAGGAGGTGGTCCCTGAGCGCGGCCGCTATGCACGACGGTCGTCCAGGGCATAGGAGGCGTGGCATTTTCTCGACGCCACAGGGGGTGCGCAGGGGTGGTCCCTCACCGCGGCCGCTATGCGCGCCGGTCATCCAGGGCATAGCAGGCGTGGCACTTTCTCGACACCACAGAGGGTGCGCTGGGGTTGGTCCCTCACCGCGGCCACTATGCACAACGGTCGTCCAGGGCATAGCAAGCGTGGCGCTTTCTCGACGCCAAACGGGGTGCGCAGGGGGTGGTCCCTCACCGCGGCCGCTACGCGCGCCGGTCGTCCAGGTCACCGGGCTCGTAAAGTGTGGCTGGCGCGGCGCTTCTCCTCTTCCACCTCTCCTCTTGAGTGGCGTAACTAACGGTATCGGCGGGGCAACGGCCACCAAAATCATTCTCACATGCTTCGCTTCAGCTATCATCACTCCAGCCATCATATAAGTATGTGGGGTTCCTCGGTAGCGTAATTTTTTGTTCGAAATATTGCTCAGGCGGACACGCTGGCCTCTTTGTCGGGTTTCCGCTCGTTCCGAATCGTGCTCCCGTTGCAGCGCTGGCCTTACTTCAACGCGTCCGCTTGTTCCGAATCGTGCTCCCGCTGCAACGCTGGCCCCTCGTTTCAGCGCTTCCGCTCGTTCCGAATCGTGCTCCCGCTGCAGCGCTGGCGTCATTATTTCCAGTGCCATGCTACGGCATGCAATACAATGCTGTGTGGTGTTCCGCTGTGCGATGCCATGCCTGCAGCTGCAATGCTGGGATATGTAATGCTGGACTACTTAGTGCCACGCGATGCAATGCCATGCTACGCTTAGATCTTCAACGCCATGCTACGCCATGTTATGTTCTGTGCCGCTGTGCGATGCTATTATTTGCGCTGCAATGCTTTGTGATGCAATTATTCACTACGCAACGCCACGCCATGCTATGACATACTACGCTCTGCCGTGCTCTTCTACGCCCTGCTATGCCGTGCCGTACGATGCATCGCGCACCCTCTCGGGATCATTGCCCTGCTCGGTATGCGACTGTGCGATTCGAGAGGATATCTACGCCATTTGGGCGCCCGAGTTATCCGGGGTAATTCGGGTCCGGGGTAACTCGGGTTTGGGTTCCCGAAAAAACAAACCCGAGTTATCCCTGACCCGAGTTACCCCTGATGATTCGGGGCTCTGGACGCCCGAGGTATCCGGGGTAACTCGGGTCCGGGGTAACTCGGGTTTGGATTCCCGAAAAACGAACCCGAGTTATCCCTGACCCGAGTTACCCCCGATAATTCGGGGCTCTGAGCCATGGCAAGGGATGGGAGGGAGGGGTAGGACGTCAGATAAGACGCGATCGCACCCAACTTGCCCTACCCCCTCTCCGTGTGGCCGGCCTGGGTCCCCCAGTTGTGACCAGGGTCGCGGCCCATGTGGCCCTGGCCCAGGCCCCCGCCCTGATGCGCATGTGCGCCCCATATGAGGCGGCGCCAACGAGTCAGGCGCGAATGCGTCTCCTCGTTGCTACCTCCCCCCTGCAACCTCATCCTGCATCATCCCCTCCTCCCTCCTCCCACTCCGCCGCCTCCTCCTCCACCTTCCCACCTGTTCACCACATGGGGGGGAGGGTAACATGCTAGCCCCTGTTCCGTGGTAAGAACGCCCGCTCGCTCTACAGCCGCACAGCACCTCCAGCTGCCACAGGGAAAACAGCAGCAGCAGGATTTGGAGGAGGTGAGAGCAGGAGGCGGACAACGAGCAGCATGAGCAGCAGGAGGAGAAAGAGTGCCCCAGGCAGTTTTGCCGGCTCTTCCTTGGAGGGGAGGCAAAGCAGTATCGATGACACGCCGCCGTGGGGAACCCGTCAGCGTGCTACTGCCAGGGGGTTCGAGAAACACCATGCCTTCGGACAACAACGGCGGAGCAACGCGCCGACAGGCTCCAAACGCCGGGCGTTTCGTTGTCGTTGATACTCCTGCTCCCTCCCAGTTGGTTCTGCCCGCCCAGGCGCCCCATCGCGAGGGAGTACAGCGCCGCCGAAGCCAGCACGTGTGGGACACCTTGGGCGGGGGCGGGGGCGGAGGGGGGCGGCCGGCCGGCTCTCCGCGGCATGGGCGGGCCCGTCAGCAGGGGCCATGGCCGCGGCCCCTTCCTCAGAGGCTCACGAGGCCGGAAGGCCTCCGAGGGGCAGGCCGCCCTCACGCAAGGCTGGCCCCCTCGCGCGGCCCCCCCTCTGCGCGCTCCCCCGAGCACCGTACGGGGCCCGCCGCCGCCCCAGGCCCAGGTTGGCCGCCAGGCCCGCGAAGTGGCCCACGACGCCCGCGCTCGCGACGAGGCTGGCCGCGCCGCCCGCGCCGAGCTCCCGCACGTTGGCCCGCAGGAGCACCAGCAGCACCACCGTGGAGGTGCTGACGAAGCCCAAGCTCTGGAAGAAGCGCGAGAGGACCAGCAGCGGGAACGCGCGGCCAGCGCCGCCGCACGACAGGACGGCGACGGGCGCCGCCGCGCGCACGCTCGGCGCGGGGGCTCCGGCGAGGGAGTCCAGGGCGCCGGGGGCGGCCACCGTGCGCGCGAGCAGCGCGAGGCACAGCAGCATGCCCGCCGCCTGCGCGAGGATGTACGATCCCAGCCTGCCGGCCGCAACGAGGGTCCCGCCGACGAGGGCGCCGACGTGGACGAGCGACCTCCTGTTCGCGCTAAGTCGATTGACGAGGTCCTCGGGGAAGCAGGCGGTCAGGGGGGGGAAGATGGTGTCCCGGATCATGCTGCCGAGCGTGTACGCCGCGTGGCCGCAAAGGTAGGCCCTCAGCTCCCAGCCGCCGCTGCTGGGGCCTCCCAGGCCGCCGGCGACGGTCAGCCCCATGGCGAACAGGCCGACTGTGTTCAAGGCCAGCGAGAACATGATGACAGAAGAAGGAAGAAAAGGCACAAACACAAGCTTTCGGAACTCCGCGCGGAGTTCTTGGATCGGCGGTGGAGCACCCTCCCTGCCGCGCGGAGCGCGCCAGGTGAGGCACAAGAGGCGGGGTCAGATCGTTGCAGAACGGGCTGATTCTGGGCCGCCGCCTGACGAGGCGACGCGAAACGTATGCTGGGACTCTCCTTGGAGGCATGTGTCCAAACCGAGCATGTAGTACAACCATCTTGTAGTGGATCGTTTCGGTACGACCATACGGCGCCCGCCACAGAGCATACACTATGACATTTCTCGGCGCGCGCGCCGCCCCAGAGGGGGCGACGCACACATAGACTCAGTATGTGTGGGTGGCGCCGATATGCCGCTCGGTGGCCCCCGACGCCATGATCTTCTCATAACGTCGACCCCCCCGAGGTCTACCCTCCCCCTCCCGGAGGCCGAAATAGCGAAACACGTCCGTCATGTTTCATGACCCGAGGAGAGAGCATGCTACGCATGGAATGAAGTCAATGATCAGATGGGCGATGAGGCTATGTGACGTGACTCTTTTGGTTTTCAGCTGGCTATGATGCCCACCCGTGCCCACCCCGTCCCGTCTCCCTGACGGTGGGATGGGAAGATGGGCCGCCCCCCCCGCTCTGCACGTACGGTGCCAGGTCCGTGGGGATAGGAGCTGCGGAGGGTATGCCGCTCTTCCCTCTTCGAGATGAGGCGCACAAGGCACAGCGCCTCCCGCCGCCGGCCGGCCCCGGCGACGCACAGCGCCAGCAGCAGCTCCGCCAGGTACACGTGCGCGACCCCGAGGGCGGCGGAGCGCCCCTGCCCCAGGTGCCTCACGAGCATCAGCGGGGTGGCGACCACCTTCTGGGGGGACGAAAGAGTATGATAGCAAAGGGTAGAGAATCAGCTCACGTAGCTGGTTTCCCAGGCGCCTCGTGGCGCCCATGTATGGAGGGATGGACCTGGCGGCGGAGCCGAAACCAGCTGCATGCAGCAGCTTTGGCACCCCCCTCTTGTCCTGGAAAAGAAACGGTATAAAGGTAAACGTTCGGAAGTCCGCACGGATTTCTCGGATATGCGTTGGACCCCCCTCCCTGGCGACCCGATACGCCCCTTGCAGAAAGCCCCGATGGCGGCCACCTTGACCTCCTCGTAGAGGCTGGCCGGCAGCTGGCAGATGGACAGCACGCGCAGCAGCCGCAGGGGGTTGCTCTGCCCGCCGGCGCCGGCGCAGCGGCCAGTCAGCCGCCGCAGGGCACGCCCCAGAGCGCCCGGGTCTCGCTTGCCCTGTGCAGAAGGCAGAGAGAAGACGAGGCCAGGACAGGTTGAGTCTGTCGCGGGCGGCAGGTCTGGGGGTGGGCCTGGACGCAACGACGGATGGCCATGTATACTCTATCCGGCACTTGAACTGTCAACTCCATCTCAATGAAAGAATTTGGCCGTCCACTCCGAGATGACGAACCTCCTTGACGGCCTACTTCCGAGTTGACGAACCCCCTTGACAGCCGCTCTCCGAGTTGACGAACGCCCTTGACAGACTCCCTCCAAGTCGACGAATCCCCTTGACGAACCCCCTTGACGGCCTCCCTCTTGGGTTGCGAACCCCCGTGACGGCCTCCCTCCGAATTGACGAACCCCCCTGACGGCCCCCATCGCCGGCTCCTTCGTCTTGGCGAACGAAACGTCGGGCCCAGCTGCTGGTTAAAAACGACCACGGTCTTGACCAACAAGGTGTCGGGGCCGAGTTGGCGGCTCCTCTCGTCTTGACGCGCGAAGTACTGGAGCTAAATTGACGATTGCTTTTGCCTCAGCAAGCGTAGTCTCGGAGCCGACTTGACGACCGTCTCCAGACATGCGCCGTCTCAGCCACTGGGTTGGACTCAAAGGACAGGGGCAGAATCGGACACGGATACATCGTGGATCTCTGAGATCTAGCGGTTCTGAGGGATGTATCGGGCTCTCAGAGCGCGCCAGAACGCTCTGAGAGCGTCAAGAGAAGTACGTAGTATACACGCCTAAGGAAATAGCCGAACAGGACAAGACTGTTCAGGAAACGTCCACGGCTGCGCAGACACCAGTTACGGGGGTCGGGGTGTTTTTTCCTCTGACTGTGTTCGAGAATTCTTCGACAGGGAAGATGGAAAAGACCCGAGTAAATCCAAGATGCACTAGCGGTGCTACAATACGGCCTCCCGTCCCAAGTCCCCTGCTCATACGTCCTGACAAGCTTCCTTGTCACCGCACGAAGCGCCACCCCTGCAAGGCCAACACCACATGGGCATGCATCTGTTTGGCGAGGGCCCAATGTAATCAGGAACAGCCTCGCATCCGACTGGCCCAAAATCAGGGATGCGAGAAGCTATAATCATACAACTCAATGATGTCGACCTGTAATTGGCGATACATCGCCGATCAATCGGCGTTAGGGAAACCGCACAATCCTGGGCGCGGTGGCCTATCAGGCCCTCATCGGCGATGTATGGGCGATATGGGGGTCGATGCGTTCCCCCTTGAGCCTATCCACCCCTAGCGTTGCCCGTGATCGTTGACGGGGGGGCTGCTTCCTTCCTCATTTTCATCCTGGTCAACCTCTTCCTCCTCTTCCTCCCCCTCATGACCAGCGGTGGAGACGATCGGCGACCACAACCCTACCTCCCCCTCCGCCATCCGTTCTTCCCTTAACGTTGGGGATGAGGTCTGAGTGAGAGCGAGGAGGGTGCAGCTAAACGGGAGATGAAGACACGCGAACCCTTTCGGCGCTGGACGCCCCCTCCCTCGCGCGCGGAGCGCGCCTCGGGTGCCGCCAGGGGTGCCCAGCGCAGATCCGAGATATTCCGCGCGGACCTCCGAAAGTTGATGTTTTTCTTTTCGCTGCTCTTCGAGCTTCGGGCACAGTGGAAACCTCTGTTCCTGCAGCCCTCGATCCGCCCCAGCAGACGAAAGACATCCGACGCCGTGATCCTTCACAGCGGGGCTCCCCGGAGGTCTGGACCCACTCCTGGGGATCAGGTCCTTCTCACGACTCGTGTTTTGACTGCCTCAGGTCCGCACCAAAACCACCACTCGTCGTGATCTCTTACACGGCGACAAGAACGTCCAAACACCCCTTGTGAGGGGGGCCGAACGGGGGAGACTGGCCCGGGGAGGGGGGGAACGACTTGGAATCGATGATGCATCGCCGATAGGTCGAGAATAGGCACCCAATAGCGAAGCCATACGTTCCTGGACGGGGGCTCGGGGGGGGCTCAGGCCCCAATTGGCGATGAATAAGCAATTGGAAGTCGATGCTTCCCCCTTTGGTGTTGCCTCTGACTGTCCACAACAACCCTCTTCGGAATCTTGCCAGGGGTGGATGGAACCCAAGAACACTCACGCAGTGACTGCGCAACGTTGCCATGCCGGACCCCAGAACGATAAAAAATGATCCACGGACGGATCTACATAATATATAAATACGCATTATATATGTATATGTTTGGTCCTCTCATTGTCTTCATTGGCACAAGACATGAGCGACGGAAACAGACAGGTCTCACGCGAAAAGACACAGCGACCGTACGCCGCGGGCCGCCAGCGCGGCAAGCCACACTGGAAACGAGGGCGCTAGCGCGCGACCTCACGAGGGCAGCCTACGCACCAAAATCGGCAAAAACGGCCCCGTTGCCCTTCGTCGATCACATGCGTAGCAGCATGCTTCAAGACCCAACTCTTGGAAGCGGCCTGGCGATCTGAACTGTCTGGGACCCCAACAGATCGGTCAGGAGGGGGGGAAGAAGCCAAATGCGGTCAAACTCTATCCCTGGACCTCTCCCGGAGCACATCTTGTAGAGTTTCCCGCCCCAGACCCTGTTTCGACATTCCCGGGGCCCGAAGATGACCCCTGGTGGCCGAAGAAAACCGAAACCCTTCCCGAGCCCAGTTCTGGGCCACCTCAAACCCCCAGACGGCTCTGACCCCCCTCCCCCTCGCGGCGATCTCTTCTGCGCGCCACCAAAGTCTGGCCTCGTCGGGCGCCGCCCGCTCCACGCGCAGCGCCTCGCTGGCCAGCCATGACCCGGGGGGGCCTGTGCTCCCTGCACCCCGCCGCCCCCTTTGGGAAACCCATCGCGCTGGCGATCCCCCCAAACCCGGACATCTGTCGCATCGAACAAACAGATCGAGGCGGCAGTGCGGCAATTTCAGTGCTGAAGATTGTGTTGCTCTTGGGGGGCCTCTTGGGGCCTGGTTTCGGGGCCCCGTCAACAACGGCCCGGGATGCAGAACCACTCCTGGCGCCGGACCCCGACCCCGCTGCCCCTGGTCGTGGCGGGCCCGCCTCGTCCCCGCCGCGCAGCGCCGCGCGGCACCTGTCGGGGACGTGCCGAGCCAGGTCAGCTGGGGCCACGCCGTGGCTTCAAAAGCCCGGGCCCAAGCCCGGGCCAACCTCCTCCTCCTCCTCCTCCACCTCCTCCTCGAGGCCGAAACCAGGGACAGTCCGAGAGGATCGGATGGGATCGGCTGACCCCCGTTGCCCTGACATCCGACGTCGTGCTCTTGTCATCGCGCGGTCCCCAAGCCTAGACTCCGTCTAAGGGACTCTTGTTTCGCCTCGAATGGTTTGTGTTGCCGCGGCGCCAAGGCCAGAAAAAGGCCCTCCGAAGGCCGAAAACTGCCAGAAACCTCCCGTCGTGACCTTGATCACGCCACGAGGATGTCAGGTTTCCGTGAACCCCCCTGGCATCCGTCGGTCTAATTGTTTTAATCCACGGCCAAAATGCTCGCGCCCCTCCCCGAGCCAACTCTGCGGCAAAGATCCATTATGATGGTTCCCTGGCCTGGAAACGACCACCGTGATACCAAAACGAACAAACAACGCCGCGATTGAACAAACATACAAAGCACGCCGCAGTTAAGGATAAGAGTGAAAAGGCGGGCGCGGGGTGGGTCGCGGGCGGGTCGCGGGTGGGTCGCAGAAAAGGTACGGGTGGGTCGCGGGTGGGTCGCATTGAATCGCGAGCGGATCGCGGGTGGACCGCGGGTGGACCGCGGGTGGGTCGCGGGTGGGTCGCGGGCGGCTCGCGGGTGGGTCGCGGGCCGGGTCTGGAGTGGGACGGCGACAATAACAATCATGTTGAAG